GACCGCCTTGGGGAGCTATTGTGGCTCTTCGGGGCAGTCTTGGTGCTCTCTTTGGCCGTCTTGGGGCCCTCTTGGGCCTTCTTGAGGTTGCCTTGGGGTCGTCTTGGGGCCGTCTGTGGCGATCTTGGGTGCTCCTGAGACCGTCTTGGACTTTCGGAGGCCCAGATAGACGAGAACGCGAGAGCAATCGAACATCAATGATTTTGGCTTCCTGGGGGCCTCCTGGAGGTCCTCTTGGAGCCCTCCTGGGGCGCCTTCGCGTTCTCTTGGTCTATCTTGGGCCGTCCTAGAGGCATCCTGGGGCCATATCTTGGCCGTCTTCCAGACCATCGTGGCCGCACTGGACTCGACTCCCCTTGACAGTGGGGTTGGCCTGGTCCTGTCCGGGTGGCCAGCGGATTGCGCCGAGGGGCACAGGGGTAGAGAATCATTGATCAATCTTGCACGCCAAGCACGTGCCCCTCCGGCTGGCTACGGCGGCGGCGGCGGATCGACGGCGCCCGCGGTGAGTCACAGTTGCCCCTTGCCTTTTTGGGAGACGCCTGTGTGGTGAGACGTCGCGCGAAAGTTCAGCCCTGCCTGTGGACTGCGTGTTTCGCTGAAGAAGAAACGCCACAAACATAAACTTTTGGCGCTCCGCGCGGATTTCTTGGGTCCGCGTTGGGCCCCCCCGGCGGCGCCTCTGGCGTCGCCCCTGGCGCGCGGAGCGCGCCAGGGAGGGGGGTCCAGCGCAGATCCAAGAAGTCCGCGCGGAGCGCCGCAAGTTTATGTTTATGTTTGTTTTCGTTTTAAACACTTCGAGTGTTACCCAAGTCTTCTGCGAAATCACTGCAGGGGGAAGGCTCTCTCAGACAGGGGGAAATGGTGATTTGGAGGTCTGTCGCTTGTGTTGCTGGGCGTGGGAGAGAACAGTAGTCGCAGTTATAGCGATCAGGATGGCAGGAATGATGGTGATGACGGCGATGAGGTCGGCAATGAATGCGATAATTGTGATTGTGCTGGTAATGGGCGCTTGTGACATGTTGAGAGCCTCTACCAGGGTCAACGATTTTGGGACGATGTGGGCGGGACCATCTTGAAATTCTAATGAGCCACGTGGGCCTGACGGGCAGGTTCGTCGGCTCCTGAGGGCGGTTTTTCCCGCCTTTGATCCAGTTGATCCCAGAGTACAGTCACAAGTGCAGCTATTGCTTGGGACTTCTCGAAGACGACCAGTTTCTGACGCAGTTGCCTCAAGGCTTCCTGAGGTCACCGCTGTTTCCGATCATTTCTTGGTGCGTTGTCTCCGTGACCTCAGCATGCGCACCTACTTTTTCGTCTTGGACGTCGTCGCCAAGCCGCAGGTCTCCGCCCAGGTTTCCGCCGGTTTCCTTGGCTGCGCCGCCTCTGTCATCGCCTTTCGGTAACTCTGTCGTGGGCCGCTTGGCCCCTGAGCCGCCAGACCATGGCCGTGAGCTCGCCGCGCTTGGCATGGAGCTCGGCGGCGCCCTGACCGAAGTGCGTCCTGAGTAGCTCGCCCACTCTGCCGCTTGATCCCGCTACTTGAGCGCGGCGAATTCGAACGCCTCGCTGTCTTCGACGTCCAGGCCCTCGGCGTCCATGTCGAAGAGCTCGCCGGCAACGGCCGCGACGCTGCTTGGTTCGGCCGGCGGGGAGCTGAGGTGGTCGGTGCACCGATCTGGTTTGGGCGACCGCGAGCGTGCCTTGGGAGGCTGGACCAGGCCCGCTCTGACCCCAATCTGGGTGTGAGCGTCCGCCAGGGCCTTGGTGGCGTCGAGCACTTCCTCTTGCCCGCGCTCGGCCGTGGCTGAGGCGCACTTCTCCCCTCCTGGGCACCGGCGGCTGCCTCCGAGGCGCACCCTCCGCGGCGCAGGCGTGCCGCTGCCGCCGCCACGCCGCACTCCAGCGTGCGCTCTCGGCGCCGCGGCGCAGGCCAGGCGCGGGCTTCGGGGAGCGATTTAGGGCCACCGCCCCCGCGCGCGTGCCTCGTGTCGGATCAGCCTGCTCGTCGGGGTGGTGTATAATGACGGTCCTGTGCTGGACCAGCCTGTCTGTGTGGGTGGTGCATTTACGAACGTCGTGTTCCCAGGGCTGGAGCGCCGCGCGGAACGCCTTACGCTGCGCCACGGGGACGAACGAGGCCAGCTGCTCGAGCGCCTGCAGCTCGTTGGCCACGGGTGGCGGTCGGCGCCGCGCCTCGCGGCCGTCCGTCTTGGCATTTGACCTTGACCCTGGGCTCGGAGCGCTGCGGGCTTACGGTCGGTGGTTTTGGGATAGATTGTCGCTCCGCCAGTTCTGGCCCACCAGTCAGAGGAGGAAAAGGAACCCATAGAGCGACGGTTCCCTCGTTTGGAGGCCCTCGCCGCCACCGCTGGATTCGCCTCGAAATCCTGGTCAGAACACACCTCTGGAGAGGTCCGGGGAGTAGCGGTATCAGTACCTTTTGGTTTCCCCAAGTTTTGGCCCACCACGTTTCGGCGCGTCACGTTGTCCACTTCCCTGTTCTGTTCCGTTGCGTCAGCGTCCCGAGCTGTTCCCGACCCCCCGCACCGCGGAGCAAAGCGACATGCTACCCTCTCGCAAGGCACAGCGTGTCGCCAGGGCCGCCGCCGCGACACGCTAAGCAACAGTTCTTGACCGCAGCATCTGGCCACCGCAGTGCAGGGCGGGCGGTTCTTGAACGTCCCCTCTTGCCCGCAGCTGCAGCACGAGGCGTGGCCTTTGTCCTGGGGTGCTGGCTGCTCGCGCGCTGCCTGCTCGCGATGGCCGCCACCGCAGCTCGGGCGGCCTGAGAGACAGCCTCGGAGTCTGCGGCGGGATCGCCCAGGCCGAGCCTGCCGCTGCGGCATCAAGTCATGGGAGCCTCGAGTGCCCTCGGAATTTCAGTCTTCAGAGCGCATTCGCGTGCGCTGCGTCTGGTAATCGATGGGGAAGCGCCGAGTTAGCATCGATGAAGCGTCGGTTATCTAGCGTCGATTAGCGTCGACGTAGCGCCGATCAGCATCGATTCGCAAGGGCCAATCAGATGGCATGGGAGGCTCCCACGAGTTGCCGCCGAGCTTGCCGCTGCCTTGGCGGCCGCCCTGGGGGCCGCCTTCGTCGTCGCTCTCGCGACCCACCATGGCTGCGCCGCGCCGCCCGCCCGCCAGGGCACAGGGAGCCGCCGACTCCCTCGGGTCGGAGGTCTCCGCCGGGCCCCCCCGGGGAACCGGCCGCCTTCAGCCAGCAGGAAGAGCAGAACTCGGTGGTTCAAAGAGGGGGCCCTGAGGGATGGGGACCTAAGTGTTGCAAGGGATCCAAGGGCTGATTTGCACTGTTTGAAGCATCTCGCCCTCAGGGCCCATCCCTCTGGACCCCCGAGGAACAGGAGTAGGATAGGCGGAGACGGAGGAGGTGGAGGCGGCGGAGGAGGAGGAGGAGGAGAAGGATCAGAGGCGCAGCGCCGCCAAGCCGCCACAGGCCTTCGCCAACCCCTTCCGCGTGGGCATCGTCTTCTGCGGCCGGCAGTCCCCTGCAGGGAGCGCCGCCTGCGCTTTCGTCGCCGCGGGGGAAAGGGGTCCCGAGGGAATCGGGACATGTGTGAAACGAGTCCTGAGGTAGCCCTCACGACCATGATAAGACGTTGTCTTTATTTGCTCTCATGCCGTCGTAAATAACGGGTCCTGATATTTTTGTTCCGTTTTTGGCTTCCCAGGGCCTTCCACGGGCCCCAGGACCGTCAGAAAACAACTCAGGGTGAACAGTTCGTCCTGGGGAATGCCCCAGGGTCCAGGAGCCCGTTCCCTCAGGACCCGCTTCCCCCGTGCTGATTTTGTTGGAACGGTTGTTTTTGATTGTTTCGGTGGTGGCGCCCTTTGTTGCTAGACTGTGGCCTTCCACCAGCGCCTCGTCTCGGCAAGCCCAGAGTGGAGAGGGACTTCCTGGGGGCAGAGACAGGCAGCAGTCCATGTCCCAGCGCAGACGCCGTCGTTGTGTAACGAGAAACGCCTACCTAACAGCGGCCGCTGTCGGGTTGGAACAAGACTTCACTTGCAGTTGGGCCAAACGCCAGCCCCTTTTCCATTGCCTCCTTTTTCTCGAAGAGCACACAAGGGCACAAACATAACCGCTGGAGTTCGGAGGTCCGCGTGGGTTTCTTGGGTCGGACCACTCCTCGCAGAGACTCCCGCGCCACCTCCGCTCGCGCTCGCGCACACCAGCCCCTCGTCCATTACACCTTTCCTTTCCCGCCCGCTCCCGCCTGAAAGGGGGGAGCGTTTTTTGCACGGGGTTTCCCGGGAGGGGCCTGGGGGTCCCCAGGGAAGGTTCGAATAGGATGGGGGCCTGAGACCCGTCCAATCGAACGCACCGCTCCGCGAGTCTTGTTGTATCTGTCTTACGCTGTCCAGGTTATGGCCTGAGGAACAATAACTTTTGATATGCCGTCCAACTGTCTGGAGTACGCTTGTTACTTTCTGTATATGTAGTGGCTCCTGGCACTGACGCTGCTCTGTGGGGAGCGGCCTACTTTGGGTCACCGTTGATCCTGGCCGATGGCATCATCGTGGTACAGCTAAGTATCGACGCCTGTCCATGGCTCTGATCAGGGCGGATGTTCCCTTTTCCCTTCAGGCTTGATATGAAGTAAATGGAAGTTGCCGAGATCGAAACGTCAATATGTGATCGTTCCCCCCGCTTGAACTCACGGCTGCCGCTCTGTTATCTCGCGAACGCCGAGGTGAGTGGTTGAGGGGCGTTCTTTTGGCGCATTCTTCATATGAAGTGGGGAGGGTGCCGGGTGTCAATCGAATTCACTGCCAGGGATCACAATCGGATTGAACGTGGTATTTACAAGTCAGTCATTTTGTCAATATGGTCAAGTTTCATGGTATTCGTGTTCTTGTTGTTCCGCGTGCTCCTCTTGGTGGCATGCGGGTCCACCATTTTCACCTGGCGCCCCCACGTCTGCCTCTAGGGTAAAAGTGCCTTTGGCGTCGCCCAAGCATCCTCCACATCGTGCGATGTACAAGGGCCAGGATGAGATGAAAGACATAGATATCATGACATCCACAGGCTGTGACTGTTTAAGCAGAAGGTGGGCAAATGGAAAGAAACACTTCAGTGAGTTCTTCGTCGTGTCCCGCACCAATCGTAAAGGCATACTTGGTGAAAAACAGCACCGTTTGAATATGATTTGGGATTGTTGATCTCCAGCGGTGAGGGGACCTTGACCAAGTAGTGTTCCTGGGTGCTGAGGGGTGCCGAGGCCAATCTAATGACTAGCACGGCATGACTTCGAACCTATTTTGACAGGGTGTGAAGTCGAGCTTGGGTAGTATGATTCCGCTTGCATCGAGTGAGGGTTCACATTGCAGGCGCCCCCATGTAGCATTCGATGTGTGTGTGGGCAGACTCGGCGTATTTCTTAGTATGCGGGGGTTGAGCAAACAGACACGGCTGCTCACCATTTAGTCACCTGCCAGCCCTGAACTCTGGTTACATACATTGCTTGGCGATGGTTTCCCAGAAGGATGCGCAACAGTAGTCAGAGCGCGAGACTGGATGATCTCGGTCAAGATTGGACTTTTCGCCCAGGACTCTGTCTTTGCCATTTGCCAGGGCCGGCGAAATCCGAGCTGATCCAAGTTCCGCTGATTCCGAGAAGCCCCCAGGGAGGCCCAAGAGGGACGAGAAACGCCCGGGAGGGCCGTCGATGCCTCGACTGGCGCTGCTACGATCCCTGGACCTCTCTTCGGCGGGCTCGCCGCCCCCTGCCGCCCACAGCCACGACGTCCTGTTCGGGGCGGTGGAGGCGGCCTCCGCGAACGGTGGGGAGGTCCCACCGGGCAAGCAAAAGGGGGAAGCTGAGGGGCCCCGGCGTTGAGTCATGGTGGGGCAACGAAAGGGGCGGGCGGCAGGGCTCGTCCCGATTTTTCCAGTTCAATTCGATGCCGATGGATTCCGATTCGGTTCGGCTTGGGATTCCGATTCGGATCCCCATTTCCCAATGGGGGCCTACTAGCTTGCCGACCTCCGCCGATTCGACTCCTCCCGGCTCGGCCGCCGAGACCTGCCGATCCGATCCTCGCCCCTCCAGCAAGCAACGCCTGAGCGTCAGGGAGCGCCGGGTTTCCCAGGAGGCGCCGAGACCCCCCACAGGGGGGGGAGCGCCAAGGACCGCCCCCCTTCAGCAGTCGGAGGCTGCCAGAATGGGTTCGTTGGACAAGGTTGGTTCCGCTGGACCCGAGCCCCCCCCCCCCCCAACCCGACCTGAGGCCCCCCAGCTCGACCTGAGGCGCCCCAGCAGCCGTCGAAACCGCCCCTCTGGAACCAGGCCTTCTCACCGTGCCCGATCCGGGAGGCGTGCAGAGCATGGCCGACGGAGGGACCCGCTCCCGTCCGAGGCGCCCCCCTGCCCTCTCAGACGGCCGCGGCCCTCGCCTCGCCCCGCCCCGCCCTCCCCCTCCCCCCCTTTTCAGGGGCAACACCTCTAGGGGGGGAGGGGGAGGGGATAGGCATAGGGGGGGGGGGGGGTGCATCGACCCACAAACGCCCATTCATCGCCAGTGGGGGCTCGACAGGCCCACCCCGCCCAGGAACGTGCGGGCTCACTGTCGGGGGCCTGACGCCGATCTGTCGGCGATGTGTCGCCAATTCCAGGTCGATGTTCCACCCCCGTATACCAGTCCCCCAGGAAGAAGGATGAGAAGGAGGAGGAGCAGGAAGACGAGGAGGAGGGAGAGGAGGAGGAAGATGAGGAGGAGGAGGAGATGGAGGAGGTGGAGAAGGAGGAGGAGGAGGACGACGACGACTACCCTTATCGCTATGTCAGCCCCGCCCCCTATCGTTGCCCCGAGGTGCTCGGCTTCGTCGGCGGCGTCCGCGGCCTCCTCGCGGGGCCCCGCCGCGCCGCCGCTGCAGTGCCTGTCTGCGCGCTGGTCGGAGCTCGGTGCTGAGAACGGGTCAGCGAGGGCGTTCCGGCATGCGCAGAGCGCCCACCCGCAAACGTCAGGATTATCCCAGTGCGACCCTACCTAGGAGTCGGAGCATCCAGGACAGCAGCATCTGCATTTGCACCGGCAGCTACATGTCCATCTACACCTGCATCTACATCTGCATCAACATCAACAGCTATACTGCGCTGTGCTGTGCTGTGCTGTGCTATGCTGTGTTATGCTATGATATGCTATGCTATTATATGATGCGCTATGTTGTGCTATGTCATGCTGTGCTATGATATGATATGCTATGCTATGCGGCGCTGCGCTATGCTAAGCAATGCAATGCTATGTTATGCTATGCTGCGCTATGCTATACTATGCGATGCTATGCTATGATATGCTGAGCTATGCTACGCTTGCTGCGCTATGTTGCGCTACACTAAGCCAAGGTAAGGTAAGCTAAGCTAAGCCACGCCAAGCCAAGCTAAGCTAAACTAAGCTAAGATGGGATAAGCTAAGCTAGGCTAGGCAAAGCTAAGCTAAGCTAAGCTAACATGATATAAGCTAAGCTAAGCTAAGCCAAGCCAAGCTAAGCTAAGCTAAGCTACGCTGGGCGAACCCAGGGGGCGCAACTGGGGAATCCGCGGGGCGGATCCTGAGGGAACCGCCCGGGGCGTTTTCCACTGCCCGGCCCCTTTAAGTTTATAAAGTAAGAACCCTTCTAGGAAGAGCCTAGGTAGGGAACAACAAACAAAACTATCGCAGGCCTAGAGGCTGATACCAGCACCAAGATCGGCGGTAAGCCTCCACCGAGGAAAGGCGATCCCGATCTCGGCGATGGTGGTAAGTTTGGGGCTTCCTACGTGGCCGAACTATTACCACCAAAACAGAACTCTAGGATTATCTTCCCCCTGGTAGAGGCACACTCCTGTGTTGGTGTTGATGCCCATTTCCAAGTCTTCACTATTCTCGGTTTGCCTCGATGTAGTGGAACGTGGATTCCCCGCGGCGGATCCAGGCTACTTGCGAGTAGTTACTTTGCGAGTCGTGGAGGACGCTTGTGCAACGAGCGCGAGGGGACAGGGAACTTTTGCATCCCCCGGTTTCCCAGCATCATTGGCATGCCCCCTCGTGCTAGGGTGCAGTGCGAGCGTCTGCGTCTCTGGGCAGCGCGGCGCGTTCCAGGGCAGCGAGCTGCAAGCCCATTGCTGGAGCAGAGAGTGGCATTCCGCGACCTCGGAGCGCAGGCGTTCCACAACGGTCCCCTCATTCGAGAAGTACTCGACGCGGAGATCCCCACATGTGCATCTCAGTTTCTGGATCTCCCGTCCGTGTGAGTTTCTGGGCGAGAGGATCTTAGCCGCCGCTGGCAGTTGAGCGCTCTTTGGGCGCGAACGGGCGAGTGCAACAACCCTTGGCGGCTCCCCCTTGGAGTGCCCAAATGAAATCCCTGCTACATCAGGATGATCTTGGGACTGCGAAAGGAGAGGGCAGTGTCGGGGGTGCTTGAACAAGCGTTCCAGATCAGAGGTCCCACGGTCTGGGCGCGAACTGGCAAGCGTAGCAACCCTTTGGCCATGCTTGCGACAGCTGAGTGGTCTTTGGCTATCTAGAGGGAGGAGCTCGATGCCCCGAAGCAGGCGAAACGCTTGAGGCATTACCCTCAATCTGGGCGCGAACGGGCCCGTGATACACCCCCTGGCGGCACCTCCTTGACGTGCACAAGTGTTACGCCTGCTACATCGGAGAAGATCCGAGGCGCCGAAACAGGCGAACCGCTTGAGACATCCCCCAACATGGGCGCAAAGGCGGACCGCTTGAGACATCCGCACTATCTGGGCGCGACCGGGTAAGTGTCGTACCCCCTGACGGATCCCCTTTGGGGGGCCCGAAGTGCCGCGCCTGCTATCTCGCGGTGATCATGGAGCTCTCAAAAGACATGAGTATGGGACGAACCAACCATTTGAGACATCCACTGACATCCACGCAACTTGGCCTCGAACGGTCGAGTGTCCCATTCCCTGGCGGCTCCCCCTTTGGGGTGTTGAAGCGAGCACCTCGCTTGAAACACCGTCACAGCCTGCTCTGTGAGGAGACGAGCCAGTGAAGCCGAGATGGGTGTTTGCCGGAGAAATACCGACAATCTGAACTCGAATGGGCAAGCCTCCCCCTCCATGACGACCCCCCTTGGAGTGTTGAAACGAGCGCCGCGCTCCAGACATCGCCGCGGTCTGCTCTGAAAGGAGACAAGTCGGTGAAGCCAAGACGGGCGCCTCGCTGGAGGCATACCCCACGGTCTGGCCTCGAGCGGGCGAGTGTACCCCTCCGTGGCGGTTCCCACGTGGTGCGTCCAACTGCGATGCCTGCTGCAGGGGCACGGGTTCTGAGTAGAAGTGAGCTTGGCTGTGAGCTTGAGGTTGTGCGAGTCTGAGCGTCTGTATGAGGGAGCGTTTGCCCTGCATGAGTGAGAGTAGGGATGAGTGTCTATGAGTGGTGCTTGCGTGCGCGAGTCTGAACATGATTTAGTTGGATACAAGTGTGTGTGTGTGTGTGAGGTTGAGATTTGTTGGTGGAGAGGTGGGTATGGGTTTGAGTGAATCCGAGTCTGATTGGATCAGGCTGAGAGTGGGTCTGAGTGTGAGTGAGTTCGAGTGTGAGTGAGTTCGAGTGTGAGTGAGTCTGAGTATGAGTGAGTCTGAGTGTCAGTGAGTCTGACTGCGAGTGAGTCTGAGGGCGATAAAGCTGGGAGGGAGACGGCATGAGGAGAGCAGGCGGAGCGTCACACTAATACGTATAACCCATGCTTTGCATATAGGGACAAACAGGAGACCCGAACCAACACAAACTACATAAGCCTGAAGTTTCGGAGAGCCACGGGGATATCTTGGGTCGACACTGGGCTCCCTCTCGCGGCGCCTCTGCCGCCACCCCTTGTGCGCTTCGCGCGCCAGGGGCGTGCGTTCAGCGCGCCCCCCAAGAAGTGTCTGTCCATGCGTGTGTGTTCCCTTCTAGGGATGGCTGGCCCTCTGGGGCGAAAGCTGCAAAAGTCGGCGTACGCCGACGCAGGTAACATAGAGGTTTGCCCCTCCTGCAGAGGCAGGGAAACTGGCGGAAGCAAGAGCAGGACACCCAAGCAAGGTTCACGCCGATGCCTCATGGGGTCATGAGGTCCCAGAGTTAATCGGATGGTCTGTCGCATTTGGCTGATTTTGAATTTTTCACGGCAGCGGTCGTTAGTATATCTCCCTATATGGCTTGCTTCGGGGGGCTGTCTCAGTTGGTCATCATGCCTCTCTCGCACGCGTCGGCAGTCCAATAGTTGCAGCCGCGGCTGTGCATTGGCATTCCAAACTCCGACAACCGCGGGCCACCCTTGGTACGCTTTTGTGTCTTACTTTGATGGCCCCTTAGAGTGGGGCCGCGGATACCTCACACCAGGATCCCACAAGGTTGTTCGCACAGGGAGGGAATGGCGAGAGAGGGGCATTCTGAATACGAAGGCATTGAAGTATTCTCCTCCGCGCACGTGCATCGGACCACGATGCGCCAACTCCCCTCTTCCTGGTCCCCCTCTTCGGCGAACCCGAAACTGCACGGCCCCCCGACCCCCACGCCTAAGGCACGCGGTGCCGCTGAAGGATCACGTGGGCCATTACCGCCGCCGAGGTGGCATCGAGCTGCTCGGTCGCACCCAGGACGGGTGCAGGGGGAGAAGGATGAGACGAGGGGGGCATGGGGAAGGTGGGGAGACAGGGACGGGAGGGGATCCAGGAGGAAAGGTGGCAGGGGGAGGACGGGCGAGGGAGTGATAGAAAGGGGGGAGAGGGTAGAAGGAGGGGAGAGGGGGGGAGAGAGGATGCACGGAGAGGAGGGGGCGGAGGTGTGCAGTCCGAGCAAGGCATGAGTAGGATGGGGGGGGGGGAGACACTTCGAACTCTGCGTGCTGCTGCTGGCCAGGCGGGCGCTGCTCCCGCGGGCTGGCGCTGGGGGGCTCGGAGGCATTCCTCCGTTCTTCGTCGTGCACGTGGTCAGACGGAAGTGCCGGAAGATGACGTGGTACTCGGTGCCGTCGCTCACGAGCAACGAACATGTCCATATGCATTTTTTGGCGGACTGGGCGCTGATGCGCGATCCTCTGTATACCCATCGTTTGCGGATGCGTTCCGCGCGGGGCACCTGCGCAAAGAAACTGACCCTTGTGATTCACCCAGAAACCAAAAGCATCTCGCGAAAGAAAGGTCCTCCTCTGCTCTCCTTCTGTCTCTCGAGAGGGTCGTGATGATTCCTTAGTAATGAGTCCGTCAGTCATGATCTCGGTGGTGAAAATTATGGTTTCAAGGATTATTTGAGCGAGTATGCACTGAACAATGATCCGGCCAGTGACTGTCATTGCGTACCAGCGAAACCAAACTGCAAACATACAGTTTGCGCAACTGGAAATCAACAAATGCCATACACAAAGAAAGGGCCTCAACCTCCAACCTCTCTCTCTCTCTCTCTTTCTGTCTCTCTCTCTCTCTCTCTCCCTCGACGGGAACAGCCAAGAGCCAGTTTTGATGACTCCTTTAGTGAAGACTCCTCTGGCATGAACTATTTCAGAAAGGATTCCTCCAGTAAGGATGGCTCTGGTAAGGAATATTTTAGTAAGGATTCCCCAGACAATGCGAATCGCGATATGTGGAAGCACTTCGAGCGCGTTACGGAGACATGCCGAGAAACCACCAGGCCCCAACCAGACAGCTGGGTAATACGACTACTACAACTACTGGCACATCTCAATACGAACACATCCGCTGTTATTGCAATCATACAGCTAGAAAGTCTAACACCATATTGCGATGTTTGTTGCCCCCCGTACATACAGTCTGGACTGTTACAACCACCGCTACTATTACCTTTCACTTCGTCGGCTCTTTCTACACCTGCTACTGCCACCATTGCAACCATCACATGACACATGCTGCCTGCTGCTATGTGCACATTCTTCCGACCACTGTTGTTACTTGTTGTATCATTGTCACGCCGCATATATTGTCGACATGAGCGCAAGTGTGTGTAGACCACCATATGCCTTAATAAACGACCCCCGGGGCCGGTTTATCAAGGCGCCTTTTCGGAGGGCGCGGGGGGGCAGTTTATTAAGTCGGTTTCGCGTGACCGAAGCTAAGGGGGCCGGATTATTAAGGCTCATTTCGTATCGCCATCTTGGCATGGACATGTATCATCCAACGCGTTACCATGCACGAGCAATATGAAGCAACTCAGGCATGCGCACGCAGACGCGGACACGGCAGCATGCGCCCGGTGCAAACCTTTCCGACGCAAATTCGCATGCGGGCACAAGGGGACAGATGTGACGCTCAATTGTCAGTCCTTCGAGTGACCAAGTAGAGTGGTTAGCAGCGGAGTGGAATCGGAGTGGTGTGGGGAGGGATAGGGCGAATGGGAACGATTGGGAAGGAGTTGGGAGAAGCGCGGATGAAGGCGGAGACTGGGGCAGTATTGGGACCGAATTTGATGTGTTGAGAAGGGAGGGGCGGAGTACGTGGGAGTGAAGAGCAGTGGCACGTATGGAGTGAAGAGCAGTGGCACGTATGGGAGAGAATGGGATGGAGCGGAGCGGGCAGGAGTGGGCAGGAGTCGGGAGGAATGGGCAGGAGTGGGGATCAGCACTTACGGAGGAGCGGGGGTGAAGGGGGGAATTTGGGAAGGGTGTGGCAGAGTGGGGGGGGACGCGGAGGAGTGTGAGAAAGTTGGGAGGAGCGGAGTGTAATGGAATTGGGATGAATCCCCAACGAACGCGATCGAAGGTGGCTTCCACGATCGCTGCCCTTCACTCCGTCGCAACTCTCCCAGCCTTCCCCACCCGTTCCATACAACTCCGATAATCCCCATTCCTCCGCCATCCTCCGCACTTCTTCCAGCTCCTCCCCGTTCGTTGTCTCGCCATTGCTGCCTTGCTATAGTTTTTGTTGCCTTCGTACCGCTGGGGCCACAACCGCAATCGTTACAAGTATAGATGGCGCTTGTACGGCACCATCATTTTCACGAGCATGGTCTTCGCCATGTTGATCACACTTGTTGTCGACATCGCAGTCGACAATGTTCTGATCACCGACGCCGTCATCATCGCGCAAGCGCCGCCCAATGATTCCCACTACCATAACTGGAACTCAATGATCCTGGAGGGGGGGGGGGGGGGCAGAATATTAAGGCGCCTCCCATGGATGGGGGGCCAGAATAAGAAGTAGCCGAAGCAGGGGGGGGGGGGGCGGTTTTTTAGGAGGGGGTCCCGTAGTGAGCCATTCGTTTGTCATATTCCCCAAGCAGGGCTTGCACTAAGGGGCCCTTGCCTGGGCCCTGACTTCCTTGGGTGACCTCTGCTGGCATTTGGCCCGGAGCTCGCCCGCGGGCGCCTCGTGGACGCCCCGTGCCTTGGCTCGGTTTCCAGGGTTGTCGCCCAGTGCCCGCCCGTGGGCGCCTCGGTTCTCGCCTCGGTTCCAGGTGTCTGGTCGGGGCCCGCTCGTGGCCGCCGCGTGTGCGCCTCGTGCGCTGGCCAGGTGTTCCGGGCATTCGCCTGGTTTTCCTGCCCGTGGGCGCTTCGTGCCCTGTGGTTTGCGTTTCACGCTCAGGTCAGATGCGTGTATGTCTAGCGGCCCTGCGTCCGATTTCTGTATATATATATGTGTGTGTGGAGATACAGGTTACATCCATTCATCTGTGTATACTCGTGCATATCTGTGTATAAAGTATAGATGTACATATATTTATATCGATATACTACACCACAGCACTTGCACCACATACCTTGTATACTATGCAAAATGGGTCTCTGCCCGCAGATTCTACCACATACGTTTGTTCATCGGGAATTCAAAAGTTCATTGTGTGGGGTCCACGCTGGCAGGAATACTTAAGACGCTTTCCCTCGGATTGATGCAGGAAGCGGCAATGTATATCAAATGTTGCCAAATCGTGGGCCACCACATAACATTCTAAGCGTGTTGCGGCAGGTCGCACCCTCCAGGTTGAATCACTCTGGCTCGCGCCCCTCAGCACAGCCTCCCTGTCTGCTCCCCCTGACGCGCTCTCGCGGCGCAGGACCAGCTGGCCGGCAGCGAGGACCGGGGGAGGGGGTGGCTCGAGCAGCGAGGCAGGTATGTGGGGCTTCTCTTGTCCGGGGGCCCACGAATGTCGCCCACGTGCAGACGTGCTGGCAGGAGCAAGAGAGGTAGTTTAGTACCTGCCGCTTGTCGCGCACTGCGGGTCGGCGGCGGGCAGGGCCAGGACTCTTGGCTTCAGGTTGGGGGCCGCTGAGTGCCGCCCTCTTGTTTCGGCCGGTTCAAATCGGCAGTCACACGGGGACGGTTCATCCGTCGGAATCGGCGGATTTAAAGGATCACCTCCCAAGAGATGACAATTGATTTGGATTCAGGCTTCTTGAGTGGGCCATGTGTTGGCAGAGAGAAGGGTGTATTTTGTCATCCCCCTCTTGCCGCATGCGGTCGCTCAGCGTACGATAGGCAGCTTCTCGGACTTGCACTGGGCCCGTCTCCATAACAGAACACGTTCCGAGGGCTTTGTCGAATCGTCGGGAATTGCGTTTGGCGATCTATCACTCAGCGGTGATGCGATCAGTTGTTGGATGGAGAATTTCCAGAAAGCCTACCGAAGAGTACGTCAAAGTGCCGTCCCGCCTTGCCCCTGCACAGCCCCAGCAACGACATCTGTCTCGACGAGCCGCTGGCGAGGGCTGGGGTTCGGGAGACTCTTGGCTGAGTGAGGGCGCGAGCCCAGTTCATGCCGTACGAGTGTTTGTTGGCTGGGGGCGCTTGTGCATCGTTGTTTTTTGTTCCATCGCTATTATAGATGGGGCCGCTGGGGACCGGCTGGGGGCCTGCGGCGTCGTGGAGGTCCAGGGTATCTCGCGGGGTTGGATGGCAGAGCCGGGGGCCAGGCCGGGGGCCCCGCGGAGGCCCGTTCGGGGGGATCCCAGGGTGCGCCAGCGAGGTCCGTGGCGTACAGCTGGTTAGCTTCTGTTCTGAGCATGCTGCGGAGGGTTTCTGCGTCCTCCGGCTTCTCCACATCCCTCTGTGCGTCTGCGGGGGCCCCGGGTATTGCCACTCCTCTTGCACCTTGATCTTGTCGGCATGCTTTCTGGAACTGGCCCCTCCGGGCTCTCGGAAGAAGAACTGCCGTTCTGACAGGGAGGATCGGGATAAGGCGGTTGAAGATCGGGCTGTCGGCGCACCGAGAGGGGCAGGGGCACGAAGGCCCGAAACAGACAAACGTGATGAAGGTAGGCACGCGCAACGGGCACAGTCACACATCGTCTCGGGGGCAGCATGATTCTGCCAGCCCGACTCTGCGGCCGATTCTTCTGCAATTCGGGAAGGTATTGCATGAACCTCCAAGAGCATTGCACCGTAACTCTGCTCCCTCATGATGGACACGCGGTGTACACTCAATACGCTGAAATATGGACCGCTTTGGGTTCGGAAGGGGCTCGCTGTTCATTCGGTCATTCAGTGGTTGTTCCTCTAGCCCTCCTCGCACACCCGGGCAGCTTTGGTGCCAAAAGTTGGCTTCGTTCCTGATCTAGCGTTCCTTATTCCAGCAGCCCGATTGCATGAAAGCAGAAAGATGGGGCGGATCGAATCCGCTTTGGTCGATCGCCCGCCGCCCCCCTCCGCTGCCCGTAAAGAGACCAGGAGCACGGGTGGGCGGTGCGGGCATAGTTGCGCCCCATGTGCAGGAGTGTCAGGGCGCAATCAGCCGGGGGACGGAGGCGAGGCGGGCACGTTGGGCAGTCCGCGTGCGCGCCCACGCGCTTCCAGCATCGTTGAGCAGATGCAGCGGAATTGCGCACCTGCGGGGGTGTGCGTGGTCACTCCTTCTCAAAGCCCCGGTGCCCCCTTCCAGTTGTGAATGGGAGCTGAAAGGCAGAATAGGGCCACGAAAAGTATGAAGAGTGTGCCACAATGAGCCAGCGACGCCATGCGGACCCTGTATTTGGGCCTAGAGGCAACGACAAGTATGACGGATGTGCCTATATGAAGCGGCGACGCCATGCGGACTTTGCATTCGGGTTTTAGCTGGATCTCCTTACGGGACCACTAAGCGTGTGAGGGATGTGCCAACATGGCGACGCCATGCACCCGTGTAATCATTGGGGCCTGAGCTGGAGTTGCCAATGGGTCCACGAAACGTGTGAGGGATGTGCCGAAATAAAGGGGCGAGTCCATACGGACCCTGGCATTTGTGGGCCTTCGCTGGAGCAACCTGCGGGGCCACGAAACCTGCGAGGGGTCTGCCGAAATGAGGCGGCGACGCCATGCGGACCCTGGCATTTGGGCCATAGCTGGAGCTCCTCTGGGGGCCACGAAATTTGGGAGGGGTCGACTATGAGAACATGTGGAGGGAAGAGGCAGGGATTGGAGGAGTGAGGGAGGGAGGAAGGGGGTGGAAGAGGAAGAAGGGCGCAGGGCTCTGTCTCTTCAAAGCGAGGACACAGCACCACAGGATGGTTGGGACAAACAGGCCCGCACACGTCAATATCGATCAACATCGCACATTAGCAGCAGGCGTCAACAAAAACATAGACCAAGGACAGGTAATCACAACATACACCACCACTACACAGCAGCAAAACCATACACCGATCACATACACCAGGAACTACACCAAAACGAAAATCCAACAATACTCCGAGGAGTGATACAAGAACACGCGCCAAGAACCTACACCCAGGACATACATCACTCACACACGCTGAGAACGCACATCAGTACCCGACACCAGTGACGCATGCCAGGCGCCGGCACCAATAGCAACACTCGACAGCAGCACGCGCCAACATCAACTTCCAGCGGCAATCCCCCAGGACGCTGGCAGGACACCCTGTCGTCCCGAACCCCCTGCCCGTCCTGCGCGGTGTTCGGTCGGGGGCAGGGGCGACGGGGCGGCGCTGCCCCCCAAAGCGGCCCTATAGGGCGAGCCCATTCCCCGACCTCGCCCTCCGGGCGCCGTCGCGCGCGCTCCTCCCCCCGCGGCCGAGGACCGTCCAGGACCGAGGGCCGAGGCCGGTCAGGGCTTCTGGCGCCTGACTGCTCACGACGACTGCTACATGGCCTGAGGGTGGCTCCCTCGCCCCGTGCGGCCTCTCCGTCCTTCCCGCCCCGCGCGCTCCCCCGTGCCTCGTGCTTGACGTCTCGTCCGGGCCTCGGCGGGGGGGAGGTCTGGAGGCCTCCCCGGGGGAGGGGGGGGGCCTCCGCCACGCGTTCTCCGCCCTCGCGCCCCCGCAGGCTGGACGGGCCGGGGGGAGCTCCTGCGACTCTGCCCCGGCCCCCGCCCCCCACAGGAGAGGATGGCCGCGATCCTCGCCAGCTGCAGGAAGTCCGAGCTCTCGGGGCTCATACTGCTCGGGGGCACCCGCACCGCCACGGACGCTGCGCGCCTGGCGGAGTACTTCGCGAGCCAGAAGGAACGGTCGTCTGCTGTGCCGTCGCGGGGATTACAGTTAGCGGGGTAGACGGCTGTTCCTCCCAGGGCTCTTCCTCACCCTTCTCCTCTCCCTCCCCCTTCCACCTCATGCTCCTCCTCACCTCCAATCTCCCAAGTGCCCCACTCACTGAAGCCCCTGGAACAGGCGACGGCACTAATGTTCTTTGCTCCTTGCTCCTTGCACCAGTCTCCTGACGATGCCACATACGTCAAAGCCCACTCGACTTGGGCGTGAACTGTGCAGGGGAAGGAACGCTTAGAAGTTTAGAGGGGGGCGTGGCCAGGACGCGAAGTTTCACGTACTTTAACTTGCTGTGGCCCCTCGTCTTTTCGGCAACCGGACTGCCACATTCCCAGGCACCCTCTGTCGACATGTCTTCTGGACTTGCCGCAGCAAGTATCATAATCAGCGGATCAGAGGGCATTACAGCACAAGCACGAAGTACCTTCTTGAGTGCCCGTATACATTATACATTCTACATTCTGAGCTTCTACAGTGCACATTGTTTAATCGCGAGAGTGCGCTCAAATTACCCACCCACCGCAAGGCTTCAACCAGCGTTGTGCTGGTACCCTGCGGCATCGAGAACTCCTTGCTGAATCCGTTCGTCGAGGCCACCCTCGGCTTCGACACCGCTGCGAAGACCGTTGCCCAGGTCCTCGTCAATTTGCAAACGCTGCTGCTTTTCTCGTGGCTGAGAGTTGCAGCTCCCAAAATTGAAATCTACTCGGAGCCCCCTATGACGCACTTGGAATGTGTGGCCAGAGGTGGGTAGTGAGGAGGGGTGGAATGAGGATATTCGGAGTCCTGCCTCAGTTCCCCAATGAAATGTTGCTAGGCGACCGCTTGCGGAGGGGGAACACGGGAGGAAGGAGAGGTTTAGGACGACGTTGAGATTCAGGAGGATGTGGAGGAGGAGCAGGAGGAGGAGGAGGAGGAGGAGGAGGTCGAGATGACTAGGATGAGGGTGAGGGGTACAGACGCTCTGCTTAAGTGGTGCGGGCTTACCAGTGACGTGCCACTCCTGCAGCTCGCTGATTGAAGGAGCCATCCGCACGGGCCCATCGCAGGGCCCCGACCGTCCTGGCGAGGCCGCAGGGATCAGTGCCCAGACCAGTGGGTGAGGGGCGTCGGCCTGGCAGCAGCAGCGAGTCTCCGGGCTTGGGGACAGAGCCGCGTGGGACGGAAGAGGACAGATCAGGACGGAAGGGGGACAGCTCAGGGCAGAGGAGCAGACCGGGAGGCCTGGGGGCGCAACAGCAGCTCCCAGATTGTGGCGAACACGTGCACTGACGGAGCCAGCGCGCGGAAGTATTACTACTTCTTGAGGTGCGACGCTGCCCTGCAATCTCTCCCAGCGCGCCGCACGCTTCTGCACTTTCAGCTTGGGGCTCGGGCTGCCCGGGAGGCCCTGGCGCGCAGCATGTCAAGAGCCGTCGCTGCTTCTCCAGGTGCGCGTCCTCCGCCAGAGCTCTTGGATGATCCATGCTTGCCCGCGGACAGCCATGGTGTGTGGGTCTCTCATGGCGGCTTCTTGCCGGGAGGGGCCAGTCGTTGGCAGGTTAGTCCCCCCACTTCGAAGTCGCACCCCGTGTGGACCTCGTATGCGTCGTCCCCTTTCCTGCTTTCGGTCCCCCTGTACCCGTCCCCGTTCGCCTCCACCCGTTCCTTTCCTCGTTCTCCTGGCTTTCTATTATTCCTGCACGCATGGTTCTATATTATGATGCTCTCTGGCAGCGCGTTGCCACATGAGTTCGCAGGTTCCTTTTTAAATCATTGAGTCGGGGTCCATCATTCTGGCGGACGGCTCCGCGAGTCTGGGATCTACTCGAGAGAAGGACAGTACATTATGACGTTTACCGTATTCTGAGGAGCAGGCACAGTTAATGCGGGCTCTGGGTTCCTTGCAGAGGCAGCGATCTAACAGCGGATATGGAACGTATTGCTTGCTGAACGCATCCCGCAACTGGTGTGGGTGCGTGTGGCTTGTCGCAGTGGGGTGGCCCCTGGAGGCCTTGCCGCTGAATCTGATGATTCGAGGCGCCGCGTTCGGATCGAGAGGTTCTTGCTTGTGCGCGTGCGCAGGGGTGTGCAGGTGTGGGCCCGGCCGTGGGGGTTCGATGGCGGCTAGGGTGGGCAGCGATGCTCAAATGACGCGTATCAGAAAAAGCATCGTCTTCCAGGGATCTGGAGGTTGAAAGTTCTTTCTCGGCGGGCGACGAAAGTACAGTGGAAGCCCATGCCAAGAAACACCCTGCTTGCCTCCAGGATGCCCTGGGTTTCTTGGGTTTGGATGGTTTTGCGATGGGACGCGTGATTTTCCCATACCAAAAACAATGGACGTCCTGGGGTCTCAGGGTTGGGTTTCTCGTGGAAGGTTTATTGTGGTCGAGCTCCTACTGTAAAACGGGGGCGGCTCCTCTGGCGGACGGCCTTCGGAAAAGTGCCCCATGATTGGCTCCTTGTGGTTGGCGCCCTACGGTGCCAAATGGATGGCGCCATGCGGTTGGTGCCCTGCTCCTGGGGTCCCACGGTGCCCTGTGGTTGGTGCCTGGTGCCATGCACCACATCGCTTGCACATCGGGAGTGCTAGAGCCTATTGTGTAGGACCTCCGATCTAGCATGACCTGTATTGGCGAGGGGGAAGAGAAGTTGCGGACGCATGATGGTGAGCATGAGTTAGGCGGACTTGCAGAGAATGGCGAGACGACAAGTTGTGAACATGTTGAAAGCATAGCGGTTTGACTAATTCACCGTGTCGTTGTGTCCCTCTTTTCGAGCATGGCCCGCCAAGGTGCATGGATGGTAGCTCGACTGGCCTTGAGTGCACCTCCCACCTGTCCCTGGAGGTGGCTTTATCAGTCAGGCCAGTTATGGACTTTCTATCCGCTTGCTAATTTGAAGCAGCACCACGGCTTATTGTGATGGTCAAGCCTCTCCCTTATTGCGTCTGTCAACTCGTAATGTCCGATAGTGTTCGTTTGGGAGTTCGCCCTCGCGCTTCGCCCTGCACACCCAAGCGATTTTGTGTACTGTATTGGGTTGGCTATGTTGCAGGAGGAGTTGCGCATTGCAGCGAGCGGTCCATGATGGTGCGGTATTGTAGGCGGGTGCCCGCAGCTTTCCCAGGGCACTGCACATTTGTGACAGCGATCGGATTTGTTCTTGGTGATGTGGTGGATTCGTGTTACATGTGGTTTGGCGTGGGTGTTTATGACCGTAAGTCGGATAAGCATGATCTTCGCTCCTTGGTAGGATGTTATTTTGAGCATGGAGCGTTGCCGATGCGAAGGCAACGCCCCACGCTTGAGCATCTCGCCGAAACTTAAGTTTGAAGCCAATACTTGTATCACATGTGCAGCTGAAGTTGAAGTCAGCATTGTGGGCCCGCAGCGAGAAGCGTGTTTTTTCACGCTGACTCTCGCCCATTCGGGTTTAGACGCGGAGCGTCTCCCTGACAGCATCGACAGATGCCCCCGCGGGGAGCGTAGACTCTTGTGGCCTATTATGAGTACGCTTTCTATGCCCAGATGGCGAAGGCCGAAAACCAAGAACGTGGGCGTCTGCAACTCGATTTTTGTAGGTGGGCTTTCGCGCTTCAGTCAGTGTAACGGGCTCTGGCACCTCTGTCGGCCGCATATGAGGTCATTGTTGCACCAAGCAAAGTGCCGCATGTGCAGCAACATGTGCAAATTCATACTCGTTCGTGTTGCATCATTGCGTAAGCTTGGGACCTGTGTCAAATTGGTCCCAGATATTGGCACCGTCTCGGGATTTCAGACGATTCATTACATTCATGGTCGTATTCTGGCGACCAGGTAGTTATTTGTTCGGAGGTGGATAGGCCTCCTACCCTGACACGTCGATTGAGGAATTGGCCGTTTTCGGTTCGCGAGAGGGCGTCGCGGCCGTCGTTTTTGCGGGTCCAGGTCCGTCGGTTTCGGTCCCAGGCCGTTTTCATTAAGGGGAGGTTTGCTAAAGGGAGGTTTGTCCACCGCCGATTTGTGCAACGCTGACCGCGCAGAATATTGCACGATGTGGTACAATCTTGGGGCCTCGCCATTGAGAGCACATGTGCAATTCCGAGGAGGACATACTTCACCGCTGTGGGGAGCGTTTGTGCTGTAGCGGCCCATGTAATCGAATACTGGAGACTGGGGGTGTCAAACCTTCTGCGAAGGCGCCCCCTCTGGGAACCCGTAGTCAGAGTTCGTGTCATGTCTGGCGTGCCCGCGAAACTGTGCGCGAGCTCCAGATCCAGTGGTCCTTTGTGCGGGTGGCGGGGCAACAGCCGTGCCGCTCCCGCTTCTGAGCCGGGCGCCGGGCGCCCGTTGTCACGTTGTGGTCCCCTGGCCGTCCCCTGGCTGCCGCGTGGTCGCCTCACTCGGCGCCTGCCGGGGAGCGGGCAGCTCCCGCTGGACGCCCCCCAGGGCTCTGCGGGCCGTCCTCCGCGGCAACTCCGGCTGGCCAGCTTGCTGCCCGCACTGTTCGGGGGTGGCCCAAGGCGCCCCTGGCCCATGGTGCCCCCAGCTTGTCGCTCAATCTTGGAGCCCCTGGGAGCCCCCCTGGGCCTCGCGAAGGGGAACCTGGAGGCCGTGGAGCCCCCCTTGGTGGACATCTTGGGGGGCCCACCCTGGGCCAATTGAGCACTTCTGGCAGTACCCGACCCGGGGCGCGGTGGCAGCGAGATTCGCGAGCACCGCTTCATCGAGCACAAAAGAACCCCTAACCCGAATAGCACGACGAAGACGTGGCCTCACTGAAGTCCCCTTCTTCGCATGAGGGATAACGAATCTCGGCGGTCTTGTCTGATACGTCTGCAGAAAAGACCCCCTATCCCTATTGTGTCTGGCCGTCCTGACTCAGGTCCCTTCCCACAGGGTTAGGGGTCCTTTCTGATTAAAGCACCGCTGTCCGCCTGGGCGTGCCCACGACGAGGGGCGGAACTGCTGCGGTTGAACCCCTGGAGGGGTCAGGGGACCGAGTTTGAGCTCCCAGTGTTTTTCTCCAGCCGTCCTGCTGCGAAACGGAGGGGCCGCGACTGCAGCTGCCAGCACGGCTCCTGCCAGGGCGTCGTTCGGACATGCGGGCTTTGTGTGCGTTGATTCACGGATCCGTTCGCTCGACTCGGACACGTTGAAGCCGCTATGTGGAGCCGTCGGGGATCCGATTGCTTCCAGCATCCTTCGTGGACCAGCATCCCTCGCGGACATGAAACACGCGTATGAAAACCGCGTCCAAGCGACAGCAAGCTGCCCCCCCTCTGCGGCGGTCACAGGTCAGGCGAGACTCGGAGCCTGGACCGACGGTCTCGGAGCGTGGGAGCATCCCAACGACAATTTCTTGGCCTGGGCAGGATGCATGCTTCTGGAGCGGCAGACGGAGAGATGGCCGGACTGCAGCGGACAGGTCGACGGCGCGGAGATGTTTTGGCGCGCCGATCTCAGGGCTGGGGTGACCGAGCTTGGGGGGCCCGTGGAGGTCGTCACCGACCCGCGCCGCGCCATGCGTGCGACAGCGTAGCGGCACTGGTCCCATGCGGGCCTGCGGGAGCAGCTGGCGCTGGCGGCCTTCGCAGGGCCCCAGGGTGCGCAGGCGCTGGGTCAGGCTGAGCAGGCGGCCGGCAGGGCGCCCCCCAGAGCTCCTGAGGTCAGCACCTTGCCGCAGCGCCGCGCAATTGGCCCGCCCCGCCCGGCCCCTGAGTGCCCCGCGGCCGCGCCCGCAGCGGCGCCCCGGGCGGCCTTCGCATCCTTGTGTGAGTATGTTTGCCGATGCGCCGTCCAGGCGCGGCCTCTTGCGTGCGTGCGTGTGCTTCTTCTACAGCTGGCTCTGCATAAATCAGCCTTGGCCTTGACCTGCTTGTGCGCGGCAGGGCGGCAGGGGAGAAGCACTGCCGCAGCGCCGCGCTGGCCCCGAGGCCCCCCCCCGCCCCCCACGTTCGGAGGCAGCGCGTCCGCCCCGCGCACACTGCTGCAGGGCCCCTCGGTGGGGCGCTGGCCCGCGGACGCGAGGCCCCCGCGGCGGGCGGGGATCTCGGTGGCCGCCCGGCCTGGGCCATTTTGCGCTGCCGCCCGCGACTCGCGGCCTTCCGCCGGAGCGCGCGGGGGAGAGCGAGGCGGCAAACCGGGGCGCACTGTGTTTGCGACCGGCGGGGCGCCTCGGGCAGCCGGATGGAGCCGGAGGCCGCAAAGACAATCACCGCAGGTCCTCCAGTGGTCCCGCGGCTATCGCGCGGTGATCCCGTGGTTGCCCCACGTTCGCCCCGCGGTTGTTCTGCGGTTGTCCCGTGCTGTTGCTTCGTCACCGCGGTTGTCCCGCGACGGTTCTGCCGTTGATATATGTTGATCCGTCCTTGCCCCTTGTTGCTTCACGTTAATGATATTCCAACCTACTTGAGCCTTGATCACTAAAAAGAATTCCGAGCAGCAAGAAAGTACCGAAGCTGGAGGGTTTTCACGTGTCGGGCTCTGGGAGGCGATACTCGTTCGACACTGTTTCGATACTTTTTTCTGGGTGCTCGAAAGTATTTCTGGGATTTGGTCAGTACGATGGGAGCAACATAACCTCACGTCTGTTCCCCGGCTATCCCGAAGTTGTCTCTCGGTTGCGGCGCGGTTGTCCCGCGGTCCCCCCGCTGGAGACAGGCTGTCCCGCGATTGTCCCGCAGATATCTATCTTGCGTTAGCCCCCCTGGAGGTAGACAGGCAGGTTGCCCGCAGGTGTCCCACGATTTTCGCGCGGTTGCCATGCTGTCGTTCTACGGCTGTCATGCGGTTGTCCCGCAGTTGTTTCGTGCGAGTTTGTCGCGGGTGGTCTGCAATCATCAGCATCATCATCAGCAGCAGCAGCATCATCATCGTCATCATTTTTCTCGCCGCCGCGTCCATGACGTCATAATGCATTCTCCTTGTCGCCTTGAGTTGTTAGTCGTTCTCTTCGGGGCGGTCGTGCTTGCGGTGCTGAGTTCCTCGTCACTGCCCGATGCAAGCGGAACTGATGCGCCCCCCCCACACCAACCTCCGCATCGGTCGCAGTTTGGTCTAACAGCTGCCAGGTAGCTCGTCGGCGATTGCCTGGTCAAGTACGTAAGGGGATATGATCGCACGAGCGCGCGCGCGAACTGCACATCTGACGTTGCCTCGTCGTATGATCGCGCATCATCGTCCTGCAAGCGTCCGCAGCATTGACAGAGGGCATGTCGAGAGCAGAGGAGGGATTACGATGAGCAGCAAACACCCACATCAGGTGACAGCACCAGCAAGCAGCGACAGCAGCGGGCGAGAACTTGCAGCACCAGCGTGGCAACACCCACACCACCAGCAAGCAGCGACAGCAGCGACAGCGCAGGCAAGGTCAGTGGCAGTAGCAACAGCAGCGACAATCTAGTGTCGGCTGAAATGCTGGAGGCGGCAGCACCATCATCGGTACTAATCCACTAGCAGCGACAGCAATGGCCGAGGCAGCAGCAGTGACGGCGGCAGTAGCAGTGCGCAGTCGTGCGTGGGAGCGCCAGGCCCAACATTGCCCTTGGCACGGCGGAGATCGAGGAGCTAAGCTGCCGCGGCCAAAAGATTGTGCCAGGTAGCGCAGAGCGCAGGACCGTCAGAGCGTTAGATACATGTGTGCTTGCCGGCGCGAAGGATCCGATAAGCGCTTTCCCTTTCCAGCGCCAGTGGTCTGGAGGCTTCCAGAGAGGCAGAGGTATGAGTGAGGAAGTCCGCCCTCCCCCGAACCTGGCACCGACCAGCACGAACTAAGTCGTATCGAGAATTTCTTAGCCATCGCACTTCTCTTCTTCGTGATCCTGACATTGCAAGTTGGTGCATTGCCTGGCCAGGTTATGTTTGCTTTCTGCCCCACGTGCCCTCCAGCGGCGCATCAGCGGGTAAGTGAGACATCGTTCATTTGATGGACTGCAGGCGTTGGTCCCTCCAGAGTCTTCGGGTGTGGCCTGCGCAGAACCATTGGCATCACCTCGTCGGAACGGTCATTGCTCGACATGGTGGGGGTTGTTGCATTCCAAGATGCGCCACCGTGAAGATTCCAACCTGTGATCCTGTGCTGTATACAAGGAGCAATACATGCGTTTCCCCTGCTTCGCAGAAGGATGGGGAGGAGCAGCGCGAGGAGCGTCGGAGCGGGAGCAAGAGGGAGGGAGGACTATGATGTGGCACAGGCGGAGAGTGGGTGGCGGAAGCCGAAGACGAGGGAGACGAGGAGGACGAAGGGCACGAGCAGGACCAGGAGAGAGAAGGGAGGAGGAGGAGGAGCGAGGAGGAGAAGGGGGGGAGGAGCAGGGGGAGGGCGGACGGCGACGAGGATGAGCAAGAAAAGGAAGAGAACGACGAAGGACGAGGGGGATGGCGGGGGATGGGATAGTGGGCACAAGGCGTCATCCAGACACCTATTGTGATGTGGGTCGGATAAGAGTCTCCATGGACATGCGCAAGATCTCTGGACGATCTAAAGACGGTGCCAAGACGGTTCCATGACCCAAACATGGTTTGAAAGTGCCTTGAAGACGGCCCAGAGATGACTTCAGGACGACCCCAAGGTACCCCTCATGGTCCCTGCACTTAGATGTTCTTAAAATCGCTGGGGGCATTATTTCCGTTTTTAAGATCGACGTTTTTTCTGTTTGGTGGGCCGTTGTTTCTCTGTTTGGGGAATGCCGTCTCGCCGTTTCGATTGATTTTCGCTGACGATGATTTCTGTGTTCTGTTTCTGTCAATTGTTTCCTGCTTAGGTTGTGTTGTTTTGTTTTGGGTTGCCGCTAATTGCTCGTTTTGGACCCGGCCGGTGCCGTTTTTGTTCTGTTTTGGGTTGCCGCTTTTTCTGTTTTGGCCAATCGCAGCACGAAACGTTGAGTACGAACAAAAACACGCCCCAAGCGGTTTTAACAACAAGTAAGTCCCTACATGATCCCGATGTTTCTTCTGGATGTCCTCAAAGCGACGTCGTGTTTGACCACATCAGGATCAACGGGTGACCCTTAGATTTCCCGATGACCACAGGGTGGTCTCAAGGCGACCCCAAGGCGCCCTTGATATGACCTTCAACGACAAACCTGATACGAAGGTGACCCAGCGATGATATCAATCTGAATGCAAAGCGACCCAAAGACGATCCCAACATGACACGATTGATGAAACCCAACTGGAGTCATGGATTCCATATTTTGTTGTTGGGGTGATGCACGGTGGGGCAATCATGATGTAACTGAGAGTATTTCATTCGAGCGGGATCCGCAAGAAGGCTGCTTTGCCGGGCTTCTAGGCAGTAGGGTGGGCTCAGCGCCCCATCTCCTATCAGTTCCATCGGGGCCCGCTGCCATGGTGACTCCGCGCTCGCAGGCCAAGAGGCCATCGAGCGAACAGAACAATTGCACGAAACCCAGTTGACTTTAGGCTGCTGCGGGGCGTTTTGTATGATAAGGGCGAGGACATCTTATCGTACGGACAGCCCAGGCCAATCACTCGGACGGCGAGGTGTTGAGTCCAAGCAACCTTCGGACCGGCGATGCATCCTCCTCGCCTCGCTCCTCCTTTCCGCCTCCATATCTTCCGTCTTGACCCCGACCTCCTCGTCCTTCCCCCCTCCCCTGGAACGCCCGCCCAAGAGGCCCCCCCCCAAGCCGGCCGGAGCCTGGCCGCCCAGCCGTCCTGCTCGCGGCGCCCGTTTGCTCGGCACGCGGCGGGGTCGGCGCAGACTTATCGATCGCTTGTCAGACGTCGGTGTTTGTCGTCGTCGTCGTCGTCCAGCCATTGGGGATCTCGGTGCCTGCATGGCGGCCCCTGTGAAGCACCGCGCCCCTCCTCCCCGGCTCGGCGCGCAGGCGTGGCGGGTTTGACCCCCGTCCAGGGGGGTCCCCCTCGCCCCGCCCTGCGCTCGTTAAGGAACTCGGAGAGCAGCTGTCGTCACCACGATACGGCCAGCTGCTCGTGAACAGCTAGCTTGTCTGGAGTTCTGTCCGTTCACACGTGCGGGCGTGTGTATATGATTCCCTCGGATTGCGGACTCACTGGTACAACTTCTCCAAGATGCTTTGACGGCTGGCCGAGATTCGTGCCTCATAGCCAGTGAAGCGTCGCCATTGTCGTTCGCTAGCGTTTCCGTCGTCCTGCAGCAGCATCGGATTGCCACCCGCGCCAATGAACAAGCACGCTGGTCATCCGTTGAGGCGCCGCGTTGAGATAGCGAGGCGAGCGACAATACTCAGACAATACAGTCTGCTCCCATAAAGATAGATGCGGAAGAGAGTGGATGCGGAGGGCATGCGCCAAGTGCCTGATGGTCCTCGCATGATCGATCGTTTGTTTCCTCATATTGTCGCGATGCTGCTTCGATGTGACTGTCTGTTTGAGATCATGGCGCTGGCTTCGAAGGAGAAGCGCTGGACGTTGAAGGACATCACGAACCAGATCGCAGATGTCGTGTGCGCCCGTGCAAACGAGGCGTCCCGCTCCCCCCTTGCGGGAAAAAGGAAGAGGTTAAACATTGGTTGCAGAGATACGGATGGGTTTGGGTAGGGCTACGGGGGCTGCTTCTGCAATTGCTGTCCCAAATTATGTGCCGTCTCAAGTGTGAGCCCACAATGGACCCGCAAGGCATGAGTAAGCACCAGCTAAGCGGAAAGCGTACACATGCATTGAAGGTTGGGGAAGTGCGAACGCAGTTGGCCAAATTGGGCAAGCAATTCTGGTTTCGATTCGATTCGTCTCTTTTGGGCGTGCGGGCGAGGCGAAAAGTGCGCGAGCGGGCGAGAGACGATGACCGGTCGCAGCCAGGGGCGAGTTCGACAAGAATGCGTCCGCATTTGGGGGGCACGGTGCTCAGGGGGTTGACGCGGGTGTCCCGCGGTTTTCCGGTGATCTCGCTTCGGTTGTTTCGCAGTTGTTTTGTGGTTGTCCGATGGTTTTCTCGTGTACGTTAGATACATCGATTGAAAACTGAACATGCTAGACGTCTGTTCATGGCCTTCGGCCCATCTCGCCACTCCGCCGGGGTCCTAGAAGAGCCTCTTAGAGGCCTCTTGGGGTCTCTTGGGATGCGTCATAGGGACCTCTTGCAGGCCGCTTCCGAGCCTCTTGGCGGCCTGCTGGGGGCCTCCTGATAGCCTCTTCGGGGCTTCTTGGGGGCCTCAGGGGACCTCACGGGGGCTTCTGCGAGACGAGCGCAGGACCGGGGCAAGTCAGAGCTAGAGGCTTTAACGGAGCCCCAGAGAAAATCAGAGCGTCGTTTTGTGGAACGCTGCGCGCGCACTCGCAGAAGCAGCCGACAGGTGAGGTCTAGGGCGTGAGGAACTCTAAGGAAACGTTGCAGCTCAGATTGTGGAGGGCGGGCTGGAACACCCGATTTGCGCGGGCATCGGTAGTGGGAGCTTGGCTCTCACTGGCGAGGCTCGCAATAGGTTCGTATTTCGCCTGAGGTCGTCGCCCACGATGTCCTTGCCGACCACCCTCGACGCCGATGCGTGACGACGTGCTGGGCGCCGCTGGTGCCCGATGTCAGATATTCTCGGACTCAGAAATCGCTACGTTTCGAAGGCTGTCTGTTTCTGAGAGGGGTCGACCAGCCCCAGAATGTCTGGTGATGCGAATGTTTCAGGGGCGGCTGGTGTTTCAAAGATTCTCAGAGAGTTCCCCCGATTAGTTTCCCACTCGACAATTTGGCTCGCCCCGGTTCCCGGTTCGGGGCGCTCTGGAAATTGGCCATCTGGTGGTCCCAGCTTTCCAAGCGTCATATTTTCAGCAAGAGGCGAGCGATTGGCTGGCGCCGAGCCCGATGCTTGCGGAGAGGCGAACTCGGTTCCTCAGGGCCGCAGGGCCCGTGGGCCATTCGCGGGGCTGCCGACGCCCCGGCCCGGCGGTGCCCCCTGTGTTTCGAATCAGGGCGCCAGAGACGGGGGCACAGCAAACGGGGGCACGGAAAACGCCGATTGTCGCTATTTGGCTATGCCACCGTTTCGTGCGCCCTGGGCGCAGTAGATTGGGGCAGAGTGAACGGGATCAGACGGAACAGTCTCAGCCTCCGTCATTTTACGCCCCCGTTCACGATGCCCATATCGAAAAAATTGAAGTAGATGTTTTATTGTTCTGGGCAGCGTCTCACTGTTAAGGGCCTGATGTTGATGCAGGTCTCGGGGAACAATCTAGGGGCGGACTCTCGCGGGAGTCTTTTGTCCACGGGGCTTCGTGTGCCATCCTTGAGCGGGTCTTAGAGGCCTAGCGGGTCGTCTTGGACGATCTGCAGGCCGAGAAGCCCAGACTGAAACAGCAACGCAGGCGCATATCATGTTTCAGCAATTTGGGCCTCCTCGGCCGGCCCCCAGGACCCAAACAGTTTTCTCAAGGAAAACCAGCAGCGAGCCCTGGGAGTCGTCTAAAAATGATTGTGGAAGTTCGGATTTCGAACCACGCACCCTGGGCCTCGGGAGAAGTCGTGCGGCGAATTGCGATCATGCCCAAGAGCGCCCAGAACTACCCAGAATTCGATCACAGGGCCCTTGATGGTTGATGTAGCTTGCTAGCTTGTGGGACGTATGGTTAGGTAGTTAGGCACAAGGTGCGTTCGGCGTGGGTGTAGATCGGTCGTTGGTCAGGTCGGTTGTTAGCTTCGTTGCTCACAACGTGGTCGAATTATGGTTATGTGCATTTGCGTTTGTCCTGTCATCGTGCCGCGGTCGGTCCCTGGTTGGCCCGCGGTTGCTTCGTGGTCGTCTTGTGGTTGCACTACGCATGTAAGATTTACCATCGACAACCAGATGGCATCCTAGCTGGACGGGGGACGTTCGACGAAACTGAGCCCGCATTCCTGGGGGCTGCTCATTACGCGGTTGTCCCGTGACCGTCCCGTGATTATTGTTCGTTCGTTGTTGTTGGCGGTTGCCCTGAACGGTTGTCCCGAAATTATCCCGCGGTTGTCCCGTGTTTATGTGTCGCGGTTGCCTGGTTATCCATGCATACCCAGCCGCTCACGGCAAATCCGTCACCAGTTCAGCGAAGCACTATGTGCAGCGACGCATTGATCACCGCCCAGAAGGCCGTCACATGTGATCATATCGTGTCTTGCGACGTGATAGGGGATCATTTGGGCCGTCGTGGCGCTGTCGTGGGCACAGGTGGGGCCGTCTTGCAGGTCCCTTGTGGCCTTCTTGGGCCATCTTGGGGGGCCTTCTCAGGCGTTTTGGGACTGATTGGTGGCCTCCTGGAGGCCACTTGGGGTGTCTTGGGGGCCTTGGGGGCCTTTCTGGGTTTTTTTATAGGCGCTGCTTGGGACGTCTTAGGGCGCTCTTGGGCAGGCTGGCGCCTTCGGAGTCCGTCTTGAGGACCTCTCCAGGCTATCTTGGGGCCCTCGTGGTGCCCTGGAGGGTCGTCTTTGGGGTTTGGCTGGCCGTCTTGGAGCCTCCTTGGCTCCTTGGTCTTTCCTGGAGGCCTGGCCATATGGAGGGTCTCTCGTTCTTGGCGGCCTGGGCGGCCTGCCTCAGCCGTCTGGGAAGCCGCCTTTGGCATCTTGGATTCCTTGGAATCCTCCGGAGGCGTCGGGGCTCCCAGGAACCCTCGGAGGGAGGGTCGGTCGTCGTCGTCCTCCTCGTCGTCCTCCTCCTGCTCCTGCTTCTTCTCCTCCTCCTGCTCCTCCTCCTCCTCCTCCTCCTCCTCCACCTCCTCCACCTCCTTGGGGGGTATGCGCGCAGAACTGTGCTGGGGGAGGCGGTGCGGGTCCGTTAGATGACTGCATGGACCCCACCGCGCAGAGCTGAACCCCACCATGACTCAGCGTGCCAGGGGGGGGGGGCGGCTGGTGGCAGATTCAATTACTTGGATGACCTGATGGGTATGTGATGGATATGCAATTAGGTGTGCGCAGGCCTGAACATAAGTACGGTATCAAATAGACCACCTTTCGGGTGATAAGGAGGTTGGAGAGAGAGGGGGGGGAACTTTTCGGACTGCGATTGGGTTTGCTTGGGACTTGGGCACTGGCACCTGTTCGAACCCGTGCACGTCTCTTGTTCACCTTCCGAGCACTTCTCAGCTATTATCGACTACTTTTCCTAGGTCTTACCCTGTCCCCCTATAGGCCTTACAATGGTTGTGGCTATTGTGCGCTCCCAGTTCCTCTGGCTTCATCTGCGGTCCGATGGCGGGTGCGAGCACGCATGCTGGCCATCGCGCGTGTCCGCATAATTACCCCTCGCACGGTTCCGAGTAGAGGGCCTGTCGGACCGTCGTCAGTCCTGAACCCGGTGGACGATACGAATCCAGTGAGTGTGTGTGTGTGTTTTTGTAGTTGTCTTTCCCTGATTCCCTCCTCCTCTTCCTGCCTCCTCTCTCTTTTGTTTGATTCCCTCTTCCTCTTCCTGCCTCCTCCCTCCTGCAGGACATCGGTAGCGCAGCAGTGTCGTCACCGGGTTGCCGCTTTGGCGTGTGGCCGCGGGAATCTGCAGTCACGTCCGCCTTCTAAGCGTTGTTCATTCTGGCATGCGCGTTGTGTTTCTGGCCAGCGACTCTCCCCGTTTATCCTTGTTTTCTGGCATGCCGCAGAGGTGATCCGTGATCCGTTTTTCGTCGGAAGCCCATGTCCTTCTCCCTTCTCCTCGCCCCCCTCTCTACAAATGATGCGCCAAGAAAAAATGAGGAGAGGGCCGCCCCTTGCGCTGCACATATTGGGTTCGCAGTCGGCAAATTGCCTCAAGCGCTCGAACTTCACACGGGCTTCGATTGTAGTTTGCTTTTGTGAGTCCCATTCTTGAGCGGGTGGTGCACGGCCCAATGTCGCAGTCGAGTTTCCGCTGGTTCCATGCATCTCCTAGCACTTGCCAGATCGGTGGTGGTTCTTGACAGACATGTGGTGTCTTCTCCGGACTCGCCCCTCATGATTCAAACAACGGCGTCCTCCCTGACAGGGGAAGAACTTCGGCACCGTGATCATCCCGGAGATCTGAACAGCTGCGCCCTCTGCCGCCTAGTCCCCCAGTCTGACCCATAGAGTGGCTCTGTTCTCTATTGTGACAGATGTGGGGCATCTCGGGTAACATTTTTGAACCTCGAGGGAGGAGTCGAGAGGGACCAGCAAGCCCGCAGAACAGCAGTCCGGCAACACTCTCACCGCTTGAAGCCCCCACGGGGGCCAGCGTACTCTGCTGGCAGCCGTCCCGGAAACGCGCTTGTTGCTGCAGGATTTGTTTTGTGTTGTGAGAGGGAGGGGTCAATGAACAGGGAACGGGGAGCAGTGTGGAGTCATGACAACGTGGGGAGGACTGGCCACGAAGTGCGCAAGTGAGTTACACGCTGCATGCATTTGGTTTCAAACTGGTGCTTTCTAGTTGGCCCAAATCTTGTCGCTCGCGACAATACTAGATGACGGGTCAGTATTCGGTAGGCTGACATATGCCTATCACCGGC